CCACTGCTGCTGCTGTATCCACTGCTGCTGGTGAAGATGATGGAGCAGCCACTGCTGCTGCTGAAGATGATGGAGCAGCCACTGCTGCGGCTGTATCCACTGCTGCTGCTGAAGATGATGGAGCAGCCACTGCTGCTGCTGTATCCACTGCTGCTGCTGAAGATGATGGAGCAGCCACTGCTGCGGCTGTATCCACTGCTGCTGGTGGTGCTGTATATGCTGATGGCGCTGATGAAGATGTGGCAGCTGCTGATGATGCTGGGGGTGGAGGCGTTGAGCTCTTTCGAAGCCGTGGAGGTGTTGAGTTCTTTTGGAACCTTGGAGGTGTTGAGTTCTTCTTGAATCGTGGAGGTGTGGAGTTCTTTTGAGGCGGTGGGGGTGCAGAGACCTCGGGAGTTGGTGGAGATGGTCGTGATGTCTGTGCCCTTTGCTTCTTCTTTCTCCCTTTCAACGGCTGCACGCGCTGCGCAGGCTGAGGTCTTAGGGCAGATGCAAAGTTATCCATCAGCACTTTTACTCCGTAGTTGTTCAGATGTGGGCCTTTTTCTTCAAAAAGCTCGTGCCTATTCCAGAACAGATTAAAGTTTTCAATGAAGCCAAGTCCTCTGCGTGAACACTCATTGAGTAGGAATGTGTTTAGCTGATACAGACAGCTAAACTTCTCCATTTTATATTTGGCAGTGGGCCACTAAGAAAAATTGTTATGTCCATTTTCTTGAGGTCATCCAGTAACAGCGTTAAATCCATTCGTAACTTCTCGCTTGCCTTCTCATAGATATCTACCGCCCCCGTGTGGATCAATAATGTACGCACACCACTGTTCTCAGATAACACTTTAGGCAGGAGAGTTTCTCACGGCACACCAGACAATATCATACGGCACACTAGTGTGCCGCGGCACAGTGGTTGAAAAACACTGTAGTAGAGCATTGGTCTTTGAGGCTGAAGCTCGTGGGTTCGAGCCCACCACGAGACCTACTTCACGACTCCCACTGGTGATTGCTGTCATTTTGTCCTTGGGCAAGACACATAACCCTGCTTTGCCTAAAGCCCCCACTCAAAAATCAAGGCTCCTATGGACTCACTACCTGCAGGAGGATCAGGGAGGGGCTGGTGCTCTGTGAACTGGGTGTAGCTCTGACTGCCACCCCCCCGACCCAGAAATGGATTAAGGGGAAGAAGATGGATGGATGGAAGATTAGAAGTCAGTGCCCTGACGTCCAGCCTCCGCTAATAGTGTCGTATTCACGGGCGGCAGTAACGTTGGACGAGATAGAGAGAGCAGGGTACTTTTATTCCCTACATAAGTTTTGGGCCATCCTTAAAGCTGCACTAACTGACTTTATTTTCGTATTAATTACTACAATGCTATCCATGTCCATGTAGTGCATTGGGATATACGTCCTTTTGAAGAAAAAGTAGCGCAGATTTGTGCTGGCGTGACATTATATTTTCGATCGAGTTTTGATGAAACAAGCAAGAGAATGTGTTTTGGGTCGCAGATTGTGACCAATCACAGCGCACCACTAGCCCCCACTTTTGTGAGAAATCTACAGGTCCGTTAGCATAGACGGCTGAGTTAGCACAACAAGCGGCGGAGCTAACCTGAAACTTTCTCGTCTTCGTCACCGGTTACTGCTTACACAGCGAGACACCCATCCAAAAGAAAGTCCCGTTCCTCCACGCTTCCCGGTTATATCGTTCTATGGTCACGCCATCCACGTGCAAATCCATATCCATGTATTATCCATATTGGGAGAGGCTAGCTCCGTCTCAACAATGTGTGTGTGGGGGGGGGGGGGGGGGGGGGGGGGGGCGATAGCTTCGTGGGTGCGGGGAGGGGAGCAGAAAGAGAGAGGCCAGCGAGTCCGCGGCTTCAAAATCCCAAAGTCAGTTAGTGCAGCTTTAATTGTTATAATTTACAAAAATCCTCAATCTCTTATCACTTTTAAGTTATAGCATTTTAAAAATAAGATTTAAAAATTGAGCATTTTAGATAAAACCTTAGCTACTCCTGGTAAAAACACCTGGTCTTGCTAAGCATTGTGCCTTCATATCATGTGTTCTCCTCAACAGACGCTGAACTGAAAGTGAAGAGTCAGACAGCCCTGCGCAACAGGTTAGTTCTGCTGCTTAATTTTGGATGCATGATGTTTAGAAACTATGGTTTGTAAGAGACATATTTACTTTAAACACTTGGCTGCATCATTTAGAGTGTCATAAACTTAGGTTTGAGTGAGCGTGTCCCTTTAAGACATGTGAATATCTTACTCTGAGTAGTTAAATGTCTCATTTTCAGTTTCTGCATCGGCAAACACTCAAAGCAGTTGCGTAAAGTCATGGGAGCATGAAAACGCATATGTTCACAAGCACTATGCCCCCCATTGTCAACCCCGGTTTTAGTCCTGGTGTGGCTCCTGTTTTAGCCGTTGACAGTATGTTCAGTCTGCTTGCTCAGTCCGCTAATGTCCCCGTGACCACTTTGCGGCTCTCTCTCTCTGCGGATTGGTTGCTGCACGTACGTCCGAGGAAACCTTCAGCAATATTTATCTCCTGCGTGCATACATTTTCCGCTCCTGCTCCTCCCCTTTGACTTTGCCGCGCAGTCTGAGTCTCTAGTGAGCAGTCCGTGTGTCTCTAGTGAGCAGTCCGTGTGTCTCTAGTGAGCAGTCCGTGTGTCTCTAGTGAGCAGTCCGTGCGTCTCTACTGAGTATTATTACTTATTTGCTTACATTTGCAGTTACTTCCAGGAAAATGAGAAAATAAATTATTAGTCACAAAGCGGTTTACAATTGTTATTATTTTTGGGCATTGGCTATGGTCCGAAAATTTGAATACTCAGGTCATTTTGGACTCTTTATTTATATACACAGAGTCACAAAGCGGAGCGGGGTCGCTCGAACACAGGATGGGAGGCGCATGCCAGAACTATTGTGCATGATTTTTAGTGGTAGGGGAAACCGGAGTACCGGAGGAAACCTACGCAGACACGGTCGAGAACATGCAAACTCCACTCAGAAAGGCCCTGGTCCGGGGGGAACCGGGATTCGAACCCACCGTGCGGACCCTTCTTGCTGAGGGCAAGAGTTCGGCTATCTGTGGGGAGCACTCAGCCATGTGCTAATTTCGTGAATACATTTCACTCGCCCAAAGACTAATTCTATAATTGAAGTAAATTGTTACAGTGTCTATATATACCCCTTTTTTAACTGATTTACAGCACGTTTTGGGTGCACAATTTTAATTAGCAAAAGTAAGTACACACATGCACACACACACACACAAACACACACGCACACACAAACTCACACACACACACACACTTTTATTTATAGAGCAGACCCGTGCGCTCGGGCCCACACTGTCAGTAAAGGGAGGTTGTTAAGGGAAGAAGACTCAGACCAGAAAGAACTCTGCAAAAATAGAAAACTTGTCCATGGTTCGACCAAGACTAACACAGCACGTGCCTAAATTACTATTTTAGAATCAAAGTGTGTCTCTGTGACGACTTTTCTCTGTGGAACAACCTGACAGGTGACAAACATGATAAAATATTTTTAAAAAACTGCAAAAAAATTAAGCGCTGAAGAAGTATCAGGAGGAGAGAGGACTTCAGCACAGAGCGAATAGAGGGAGAGAGGTGTGTGGTCAGAGAGTGTTTGGGAAGGTGCGTGTGTGGGTGTGCGAGTGTGCGTGTGTGTGTGTGTGTGTGCATGTGTGTGTGTGTGTGTGTAAGCATGTTATGCCTTGTCGTAAAGCTAAGAACCTCGAGAATTCAGCATTTCACTTCATTTGAATTTACAGACTTTGATCTTTGAGTCACAACAGGATGTAGATTGCGCAAATGTTGCAGGCTCCGCAGGTTTTTCTTTCCTGCTGCTGTCAGACTGTACAACGAACAACAAGCACTAACACACACTGCCGACCTGACCTCACGTGTGGTGCATCTGTGTCGTGAAACCATATGTGTCACTGTCACTTTGTCCCAGAGCCTCAGATGTGAACACACAACTGTATTTTTCATTTCTCTTGTGCTGTGTGCAACACTGACATTTCCCCGCTGTTCTTCTTCTTCTTGGTCTTAAAATGTAGTGGACATAACAGGACACATGTCACAAATTTACAGACGTGTCTCAGTGGAGCAACCTCCGTCTCTGACTCCGACCTCGACTTGAGTCTGGATCGTCACGGAGCGTTTTCCATCATCACAGAGACCAGAACGAGACCAGAACGAGACGAGGCGAAGGTCACGGAGCGGATCCTCTTCACTGATGGACAGCGGTCAGCATCAGTTTGTGTGTGCGTGTGTGTGTGTGTGTGCGTGCGTGCGTGCGTGCGTGTGTGCGTGTGTGCGTGTGTGTGTGTGTGCCTCTCATATCAACTTCACCTCATGCCGCCACCAGTACCCAGGTCCCGGGGATTATAAGCAGCACACAAGGAATGATCGTTGCCGACAAAGTGCAGCTGCCGGGGCCTAGGGCCAAACTAACTGTAGAGTCTCCGGTAGGAGTGTGACGATATATCAATTTGTTTGATATATCGCAATACTTTCTCCCGCGATCGATTATCAATATGCATTTGTATCGATTTTTTTGTAATGTCTTTTTTTATTTTTTTTATTAGTATCAATACTTGGCATGGCTACATTACACATATCCATTCCATTTATCATGAAATAAAGTGTATTTTTTCACTTAACATTTTTCTATTTTATTTATGCCATATATTGGCACATCGTATATTTCTGACCAATATATCGATAATCGTCACATCGTGATATAATCGTTATCGTGAGCTTTGTATCGCGTATCGTATCGTATCGTATCGTGAGGTACCCTGAGGTTCCCACCCCTAGTCTCCAGATTGAATTAGAGCCAGGTACTAGAGACATAGATTTTATTACACAGTTCCATTGTTTTATTTGTACTTTATATGATAAAGTGAGTGTTAACTTAACCTAACTCCAGGTCTGTGTTTGATTGAGTGTAGTTAAATCAGGTTTACAATATCTCTTGAATAGAGACTGTGTCCGCATCCTCGATGTGGATGGGGAGCTGATCCTCAGTACACTCCTGTACTGAGGAGTCTTCTTCTGTACTGAGGAGTCTTCTTCTGTACTGAGGAGTCTTCTTCTGTACTGAGGAGTTGTCTTCTGTACTGAGGAGTCGTCTTCTGTACTGAGGAGTCTTCTTCTGTACTGAGGAGTCTTCTTCTGTACTGAGGAGTCTTATTCTGTACTGAGGAGTCTTCTTCTGTACTGAGGAATCTTCTTCTGTACTGAGGAGTCTTCTTCTGTACTGAGGAGTCTTCTTCTGTACTGAGGAGTCTTCTTCTGTACTGAGGAGTCTTCTTCTGTACTGAGGAGTCTTCTTCTGTACTGAGGAGTCTTCTTCTGTACTGAGGAGTCTTCTTCTGTACTGAATGTCACGCCTCCTTCTGCACATTTTGACTCTTTGGGAGCCAGCGGTTAAGTCATGGAGATAATAGAGTCCATGAGGAGGCTGATGATGGCGGGTCAGAAGCAGCTCTCGTCCTCTCCCACAGAATCCTCTTTGAGCCGGTGATCCGCACTCGTCTCCTCTCCACAGGAATATCTCTGCGGCCGCTGTGGATGATTGTGTAACTGTGCCTCATTTTCACACATTTCCACCAGAGATCCGGCCCCTGAGAGCCGGCTCCCACACAGACCGTCCACTCCAGGTCCACTCCAGGTCCACTCCAGGTCCACTCCAGGTCCACTCCAGCCCTCGCACCACTGCCAAGTGTTTTCTAGGTTCTAAAACTACACACAAGTCACAAGATATGACGTATAATGACAACGTAACGAGCCGTGGAGCCGTGTTTTGGAGGACTGAGTGGGACTTCTTCCTCTCGCCTCCTCATCCTCCAAACGTGATGAAGAGGAACAGACTAAAGTGTGAATGTGACAGAACTGAATCTAAAGAAACCAAAGACACTGAAAGACTACAAACAAGATGTGAACTTTCTTTATATTGTGTAAATGTGCAAAAACATTTACCTTTGTGGAAAAGGAACCTCAGCACTAGCCTGTGTGCGTGTGTCAGTCTGTTTGTGCGTCTATGTATGTATGTGTGCGTGTGTGTGTTTGTGTGTGCGTGCGTCTCTGTGTGTGAGTCTGCTTGTGCGTCTGTGTGTGTGTGTGTGCGTCTTTGTGAGTGAGTCTGTATGTGTGTCTATGCATGTGTGTGTCTCTGTGTGTGGTTCTGTGTGTGTGTGGGTCTGTGTGTGTGTATGTGTGTGTGTCTATGGGAGGGATCAGTGTGTGTATGTGTCTGTCTCTCTGTGTGTGTGGGTCTGTGTGTGTGTGTGTGTGTGTGGGTGTGTGTGTATGTGTGTGTGTCTATGGGAGGGGTCTGTGTGTGTATGTGTCTGTCTCTCTGTGTGTGTGGTTCTGTGTGTGTGTGTGTGGGTCTGTGTGTGTGTATGTGTGTGTGTCTATGGGAGGGGTCAGTGTGTGTATGTGTCTGTCTCTGTGTGTGTGTGGGTCTGTGTGTGTGTGTGTGTGCGTCTTTGTGAGTGAGTCTGTATGTGCGTCTATGCATGTGTGTGTCTCTGTGTGTGGTTCTGTGTGTGTGTGTGTGGGTCTGTGTGTGTGTATGTGTGTGTGTCTATGGGAGGGGTCAGTGTGTGTATGTGTCTGTCTCTCTGTGTGTGTGGGTCTGTGTGTGTGTGTGTGTGTGGGTGTGTGTGTATGTGTGTGTGTCTATGGGAGGGGTCTGTGTGTCTCTGTGTCTGTCTCTCTGTGTGTGTGTGTCTGTGTGGTGTCTGTGTGTATGTGTGTGTATCTGTGTGTGTGTTTCCTGACGTGTGTAGGTTCAGACGGCTCAGATCCTCCGCTGTCGCCGTCTGTCCGTCAAACGTCTGAACATGAAGCTAATTACCGACTTTCTCTTTGCTAACGCTCATCAAACTGTCGCCATGGAGACGGGCCACATAGAGCTACGGAAATGACTTAAAGCTGGGGTACCTAACTTTCTGATGACTACCACTATCTTTAATCATCAGTTAGGAATGAGGAGATAAACAAACTATAACTCTAAACTAAAATACAATATAACCCCTAACTTTAGCTGGACAAAGAAGCAAGTATAAAATCTTTGAAGTTACGAACCCCAGCTTTAAATCCTCATGGTCCTGGTTTTCTCTCTTGTCCTTTCTCTCGTTAATCCAGAATAATTATTGCGTGGTAAATATGAGGCGTGACATTCTGCAGCGGTTTGACGTCTGCCACAAAAGAGGAAATGTATCTTGTTCCGAACCCCCACAGATCTGGAGCTGTGTTTAGATCCATCCATGCACCAGGAACATGCCCCACCTGGTCCCTCCTTTCACATGTTGTTTTTGACCTTTGCTTAAAGTAACAATATGTAAGATCTTCATGTCAAGTCATCATTAAAGGGCCCTAATCTGTCATCATTAAAGGGCCCTAATCTGTCATCATTAAAGGGCCCTAATCTGTCATTATTAAAGGGCCGTAATCTGTCATCATTAAAGGGCCCTAATCTGTCATCATTAAAGGGCCCTAATCTGTCATCATTAAAGGGCCCTAATCTGTCATAATAATAAACTGCTCTTTTCCAATACTTCTTTAACTGAAAGCAGTAGTTCAGAGATATTTGAATTTATAAAATACTTTTCCAGCCCCTTTATCTTGTTATTGTTTTCATTTCGATGTCCCGCCCTCCACCGTTTCACCAATCAGAAAGTCTGTGATCCGGGCGCCAGAACTCACCGCGTGGAGCTAATCTCACTGGTAAAGTACCATGTGGCGCAGAACTAAAAAAGGTCTCGTTATGATTCTCAAATCATTAACGACAAAACAAGGAATAAAACCAGTGAAAAAGGTGTTGGTTATAGATTTGTTGTTGACAAAACTCTTGTCTATTCAGCTGTTATGGTCCCAGCTGGATTGCTCTCTCTGCTCAGTCTCTCCTCAGTCTGACTCAGTCCAACTCAGTCCTACTCAGTCCTTCTCAGTCCTGCTCAGTCCTGCTCAGTCCTGCTCAGTCCTGCTCAGTCCTGCTCAGTCCTGTTCAGTCCTGCTCAGTCCTGCTCAGTCCTGTTCAGTCCTGCTCAGTCCTGCTCAGTCCTGCTCAGTCCTGCTCAGTCCTACTCAGTCCTGCTCAGTCCTGCTCAGTCCTGCTCAGTCCTGTTCAGTCCTGCTCAGTCCTGCTCAGTCCTGCTCAGTCCTGTTCAGTCCTGCTCAGTCCTACTCAGTCCTACTCAGTCCTACTCAGTCCTACTCAGTCCTACTCAGTCCTACTCAGTCCTGTTCAGTCCTGCTCAGTCCTACTCAGACCTACTCAGTCCTACTCAGTCCTACTCAGTCCTACTCAGTCCTACTCAGTCCTGCTCAGTCCTGCTCAGTCCTACTCAGTCCTACTCAGTCCTGCTCAGTCCTGCTCAGTCTTTCTTAGTCCTGCTCAGTCCTTCTCAGTCCTTCTCAGTCCTGCTCAGTCCTGCTCAGTCTTTCTCAGTCCTGCTCAGTCCTTCTCAGTCCTTCTCAGTCCTGCTCAGTCCTTCTCAGTCCTGCTCAGTCCTTCTCAGTCCTTCTCAGTCCTGCTCAGTCCTTCTCAGTCCTGCTCAGTCCTGCTCAGTCCTGCTCAGTCCTGCTCAGTCCTGCTCAGTCCTGCTCAGTCCTTCTCAGTCCTGCTCAGTCCTTCTCAGTCCTGCTCAGTCTCTGCAGAGGTTCTCGTCTGTCTTCAGTCCGTGGTTTTCAGATTGATGTCACATCCTGACACAGTGGTCAGTCCCTGTGTTCACATGGTTCTAATGTATGTGCAGCAACAGTGACATCAGCAGTGGGAGAGGCTGCAGAGGCAGTCTGACAGGCCTCCTCCAGGGGGCACTGCAGAGACAGAGAGAGGGAGAGAGGGGGAGGGAGAGAGGGAAGGAGGGAGGGGGAGGGACGGAGTGGGATAGAGGGAGAGAGTGAGACAGAGAGAGAGAGGGAGGGAGAGAGTGAGAGGGAGAGAGAGAGAGACAGAGAGGGAGCCAGAGAGACAAAGACAGAGAGAGACACACAGAGAGGGAGAGAGAGAGAGAGAGAGACAGAGAGACACACAGAGAGAGAGAGAGAGACAAGGAAGAGAGACAGAGAGGGAGAAAGTGAGAGTGAGAGAGAAAGACAGAGAGAGAGAGAGTGTGTACACACACTCTCTCTCTCTGTGTGTGTGTCACTGTGTGTGTGGGACGTTTGTGCCTGTGTGTGTACGTATATGTTTTTGTGTTTGCTCAAGTGTGTTTATGTGTGTGCGTGGGAAGGACAGAGAATGTGTGTGCATGTATGTATGTGTGTGTTTGTGTGTGAGTTTATGTCTGTGTGTGTGTGAGTTTATGTCTGTGTGTGTGTGTGCGTGTGTTTGTGTGTGTGTGTGTGTGTGTGTTTGTGTGTGAGTTTATGTCTGTGTGTGTGTGTGTGCGTGTGTTTGTGTGTGTGTGTGTGTGTGTGTGTGTGTGTGTGTGTGTGTGCGTGTGTGCGTGTGTGTGTGCGTGTGTGTTTGTGTGTGTGTGTGTGCATGTGTGTAAATCTGACAGCTGAGCAGGAGTTTAGAGCGACTGATTCTTTAACGAAGTGTGAAAACAGTGATTAATGTTTCATGTTGACTTTGATGTTTCATGTTTTACAGTGTGACGGGACTTTCTGGAACATCCCCCCGCCCCTTCTGTCCAAATGCTCCGCTTTGAATCCTCAATTGATGTTCTCTTACAGCTTGTGCAAAAGTGCAAAAGTAAGATGTGTTTTAGTCCTGCTGTGGTCCTGCTTTAGTCCTGCTATAGTCCTCCTTTAGTCCTCCTTTAGTCTTGTCTTAGACCTGCTTTAGACCTGTTTTAGACCTGCTTTAGACCTGTTTTAGACCTGTTTTATACCTGTTTTAGACTTCTTTTAGACCCTAACCCGTTGTAGACCTGAAGTGCTCCTTGTTCTGGTCCTGGTTCAGATTATTTCAGTTTAGAATCCAAATTAAAATAAAGTGGAGAGAAAGAGCGCAGCTTGTTTAAATCTGAAGTTCACTGATTTCCTGACGAGCTGCACGCTGCGACACAGACAGTAATCAGGCTTTACAAGAATAAACAAACACGTACAAGGACAATCAGGAGCGGAGGAAATGTACTGCACAAAAATCAAGATCTGCAGTCGGCGGCATTAATGCAACAAGAAAATATTAGTTTGTCCCAAGCCACTGGTCTCCAAGATGTCTGCCTCTGGTCTCTCCAAGATGTCTGCCTCTGGTCTCTCCAAGATGTCTGCCTCTGGTCTCTCCAAGATGTCTGTCTCTGGTCTCTCCAAGATATCTGCCTCTGGTCTCTCAAAGATGTCTGCGTCTGGTCTCTCCAAGATGTCTGCCTCTGGTCTCTCAAAGATGTCTGCCTCCGGTCTCTCCAAGATGTCTGCCTCTGGTCTCTCCAAAATGTCTGCCCCTAGTCTCTCCAAGCTGTCTGCTCTAGGTATCTCCAGAGAGCGCAAAACCCATAGACTGTAAACCATGGACTATAAATGCTTAGTGAGCTACAGGACTTTACATGTATGTCGATAAGAGCCAGAGTGAGTTGGAGCAAAACTTTGTCCATGAGCACTTTTCTACTGGGCTTCAATGAGCTAGTGGTTAAGCATTGTCCATGTATAAGACCTATGCATTGTTAGTATTAATATTATCATTTATTTTTCTGCCATTATTTTGTCCTGGAACAACTACAAGCTTGTGTCTTTCTGTCTGACCAATAGGACCTCTTCATTGTCAGTCGCTCCCGTTCTGTGATTGGTCCAAATCCACACAGCAGCATCGGGTCTCCTTGGAAAACCAATTAGTACATTTGTCACTAAAAACATTTGTAGCCAGCTGGACTTGGGAGAACACAATAAAAAGCCCAAATATCTCAGACTCTGGTTGTCAAAAGTATGATCATAATTATAATTGATATGACTTATAATGCATTTAAACTGTTGCCGTAGCGACTCTTTACATGTTTTGATTCAAACTTCAGACTTCAGCAGCTTTGGTGTCTGTCTACTACTTCTCAGGTAAAACACATTTTTCTGTTGTAATACTACTGTAATATTTAGTATTTTTCATGTTAAAGGCTTCGGTAAAAACAAATCAGATGAATTTGTGAAAATGTCTCCTGATTTAAGTGTCTTTTTAAGTTTGCCAAGTTTCAACAAATAGTGGAACAAGTATCTGTGGTCCCATTTAGACCTGTTTTAGTCCTGCTGCAGTTCTCCTGTATATCTGCTGTAGACCTGATTTAGTCCTCTTTACTCTTACTGGTTCCTCTTTGATCTCTTTCGTGTCTGGATTCTCTCTCTCTAGTCTCTCTGGTTCCTCTCTGGACTCTCCCTGATCTCTCCCTGGACTCTCTTTCTGGTCTCTCTGTTCCTCTCTGATCTCTCTCTAGTCTCTCTCTGATCTCTCTCTGATCTCTCTCTGATCTCTCTCTAGTCTCTCTCTGATCTCTCTCTGATCTCTCTCTGGTCTCTCTCTAGTCTCTATCTAGTCTCTCTCTGGTCTCTCTCTAATCTCCTGATGGTTTGTGTTCTCGCTGGTCGCAGGTGGAGTTTGAAAATGGACGGTTTGGAGAAGATCGACTCAGAGCAGAAGACTGAGCCTCAGGTTTCAGCCAAAATCACAGATTCTACAGAAACAAAAGCACAACAAAACAAACGCAAAAGAGAAGATGCGGAACCAGAGAGGCCGGGACCAGAGAGGACGGAACCAGAGAGGCCGGGACCAGAGAGGACGGAACCAGAAAGGACGGGACCAGAGAGGACTGAACCAGAGAGGACGGGACCAGAGAGGCCGGAACCAGAAAGGAAAAAAACAGGTGAGTGAGACTTTATACATCAGTATTCTAAATGATCTGACTTTAATTTGGTTCAAAACATGATACAAGAAAAGCACTATATGTAACTTTCAAACTGCAACAAGGGCACTCTAATAAGATCCAAGTCACATTATTGTGTCAAAGTCACAGTTATTGTCATTGTTATCTTTTGCACAGGTAAGAAGGTCGTTTTTACTTTTCCGTCTGAAAAAGCTGAGCCAAAGATGCAATGTCTCTGATCTCTCTGGTTGTCTCTCTGATCTCTCTGGTTGTCTCTCTCTGGTCTCTCTCTGGTCTCTCTGGTCTCTCTGGTCTCTCTGGTCTCTCTGGTTGTCTCTCTCTGGTTATCTCTCTCTGGTTGATCTCTCAGTTACGTATCTAAGCATTAAGACATTATTTTAGATTCTGAAATCACAGGGACCAGAGACAGACCAGAAACATGACTTTCAATAGTAAATATTGTCAAGATAATGTTTATTGTTGGACATACACAGTACACATTTTGACAACACTTTTTTGCACAATAATTCAGAGATCACACCAAAATATGTGTTCTCCGTGTGTCTTATTCGTACAGAGCGTATTCAACACAATCCACAAAGTTTTAATAAAGTTACAGACACAAACACACATAGTGGGGGTTTGAAGACAATTTCACACATCTGAAAACCACATGACCAACCTGAGGGACTAAATGAACCCTCACGTTCCAATTATTTACAGTATTGAGTTTGAATGCTTATTCATCTAGAGCCAGATTGAACCTGAAATCCTGCTGTTCCTGTTTAGGCGTGAGCGAGGTGATAGTGATACTTGATGACGACGATGAGAAGGAGTCCCCCTCCACGTCTGCTTCCACTCACGTTTTCAAAATTCCAGAGATCCCGTTCTGGAGGCGCAATACTGTAAAGAGAGTGAAGACACCGCCCGCCATTCAGCGTCAGAGACATCCACAGCCGTTGGTCGCTCAAGTTCAACCAAACCAGCGAAGTGTTTGGCCAAGGATGTCTCGACTAAATGTGGCTCTTCTGGGCCAAAGTCACAGAAATGCAGGAACTTCACTCCAACGAAGCCTGGACAACGCAAGACGAAGACCAAACCAAAGAGTTGCGGTCGCTCAAGATCAGCCAAACTGGGGAAAAGGATCATCCCTGAGCCCTCGAAGTCAATCAGATATGGCTTTTCAAACTCGAATGAATGCTGTAGCATTAGCGGCAAGTCAAAGGCGGAGAAAGGTGATGCCTTCAAGCCAACGAAACCAGCCAAATCTACAGTCGGCAAACCTACGAAATCAACAGAATGGTGTAGCGTTATCGGCTAGTCAAAGTGAAACTAATATGACATCAAGCAAAAGAAACCAGCCAAATGTGCAGTCAGCGGACCTACAAAACCGTCAGAATGGTGAAACGTCATCGTCCAGTCAAAGTCAGACTGGTATGACGTCTTCAAACCAACAAAACCAGCAAAATGTACCCTCAACGGATGTGCAAAATGAAGAAGACCAGGATGTTGTTTTTGTCAGTCATACTCGAAGATATAGAGTCCGCCAAGTCCGGGAAAACCAGCAAAATACACCAGTGAGAGACATTCAAAATCAGCAGAGTACTGTTTGTCAAAGTCCGTCGAGTCACGTTTTGTCAAGGCCCAGCGAGAATACGGAAAATACGGTTCATGCAAGTCAGCAAACCCAGCCACGTATGGGTGCTGGACAAAGTTTTCTGAATCAGGAAAGGCAGCAGTCTACGCCTACAATGGTCCATCACAGTCAAAACACCCAACAGAATGAATTCATTCCTTTGCTCCCGGTCTCTCTATTTCAACAAAATCATCAGAATGTACAGAACCTAATAGTCCATGGACATAGAATTTCTCGTCTAGTTCCTGAAAATCGACCAAATCTAGTCCTCCAAGGTCAACATGTCCAGCTGGCGCCGATGTTAGGAGGGAGTCCATCTATTCCTGGAAACCTGGTCCACTTTAACTCATGGAATCGTCAGCCAATCGTGTCCCAGCTTCTAACACCTCTTGCGCAGTTCCCAGCCAATCAGATGGTGTTCTATGAGACGAGGCAGTCGGTCTTCATTCAGTCGGGTGAAGCCAATAGAAGCAGACCTCTTCACCAGGTGAGAACATGTTAGCATGGAAGGAGTTAGCATGAGTTAGCCTGTTAGCATAAAAGCAACTGCAAGATGTGTTTTTACGGTGTATTTTTGTAGTAACTGTAGTATTTGGGATAGTAGTAATAGTAGTAATATTTAGGGTGGCCATAGTAGAAGATGTAGTAATGTTTTGGGTGGTAGTATTAGTATTTGGAGTAGTAGATTCCTTTTACAAAGCATTTACAAACTTTAGAAAACAGTATGTAGCCGTATGACTGAGAATGGAATTGACAACATTGAATTAAATTGGTATCCGTAGCCGGGTTGGTCGTAGTTGTAGTAGTAGTAGTACTAGTAGTAGTATTTGGCGTAGTAGTGGTATCAGTAGCACTAGTAACAGTTGTAGAAGCAGTAATAGGTGTAGTAGCAGTATTTGTGAACAGAGCCTTGTGAGTCACTACTCTCTCTGTGCTGAGAGCTGATTGGCTGAGAGAGGGTGGTCCTGTCTTTTCCACCTTTCTGTCTGAAAAAGATGATCTAAAGTTGTGACAGAGGCCAAAAAAATAAATAAACTAGTGAAGTAACTGTAAAAAGTGAATGTATTGAGGAATCACATGTCTTTTCTCCACAGCAGAGGCACTCTCAGCCATTGGCCAGTCACCTCCTGCCTCAGCAGCAAGCGGCCAATCAGAGCTGTCCTCACATCCCATGCGCAGGAATGCAGCATGTCCGACCAACGGGCAGCCACCAAAACCAGGTGAGAATCTAGTTAGCGATCAGTGGTTAATTAACATAAGACACGATAAACCATTTTTTCCCTCAGTCATAGTTGTGCACGTTTAAACAGGGGTGTCCAAACTTTCTTAATCGGAGAGCTACTTTTATTCAACAGAAGCGGCAGAGAGCTACTTCTTTTCGCCGTCATAATAAATATCTATGTAATAATTGTAGCAAAATATGCAAAACAATATGCAGAACAGAATTTATACTTTTAATAAACGGGTAATGACTCACAGGTGTATCATTCACGATCATGTGTTAAATTCTAAATCTTTTGGGGAGCTACCTGTAAGGGGCTGGAGAGCTACTGTTAGCTCCCGAGCCACAGGTCGGAGACCCCTGCAGTAGAATAAAAGGAGGAAATATGAGCACTTAGGTTATACTCACATCAAACAGGATCTATTCTATGAGATCTGCCAATATTTCTGCTACTGCCATTTTAAGTGGAATCTAAAATGGCATCTAAAAGTATTTAACAAATGGGAGTGGAATAAGTATCGTGGAGGGACCATTGACTGCCACTGATGTCTGAGGTCTGCTGTCATTTTGTCCTTGGGCAAGACACTTCATCTGAAATGGCTGGTAGACAAAAAGTGGTGTTAAAAATGGCAGGTAGACAACAAATGGCATCAGGTAGACAACCCGGACAACAAGATTGAAACATTGAACACACGTGGCAGATTTAGTTATTGTTAAATGTTGTAATGCATTGACTTTGTATCTTGATCAGCATAGAATAGACAAGAATAAAAAATGTTTTGAAGGAATATTGATGGCTGGAAAAGAATACAAGTTGAGACAGGACATTTTGGCTCTGATGAACCCTGTCCATGACCTCTCAGGTGGTGCCTAATGAGGTCCTGCTGCTGGTTCCCTCCGGTCATCAGGGAGAACTCCATCCACCGCCACTTCCTCAACTCATCCCCCTGTACAGGGCCCCACAGACGGGAACTTTGTGAGTGCTACTACTACTTCAACTTCTGCTACTACTGCTACTACTACTACTACTACTACTGCTGCTGCTACTTCAACTACTACTACTACTATAACTGCTACTACTGCTACTTCTACTACTACTACTACTGCTGCTGCTGCTGCTGCTGCTCCTACTGCTACTACTGCTACTTCTACTACTACTACTACTGCTGCTGCTGCTGCTGCTGCTGCTCCTACTGCTACTACTGCTACTTCTACTACTACTAGTACTACTACTGCTGCTGCTGCTGCTGCTCCTACTGCTACAACTGCAACTACTGCTGCTGCTGCTGCTGCTGCTCCTACTGCTACTGCTACAACTGCTACTTCTACTACTACTGCTACTGCTGCTGCTGCTCCTACTGCTACTGCTACAACTGCTACTACTGCTACTACTACTACTACTGCTGCTGCTGCTGCTCCTACTGCTGCTGCTGCTGCTGCTGCTCCTACTGCTACTACTGCTGCTGCTGCTGCTCCTACTGCTACTGCTACAACTGCTACTTCTACTATTACTGCTGCTGCTGCTGCTGCTCCTACTGCTACTACTGCTGCTGCTGCTGCTCCTACTGCTACTGCTACAACTGCTACTACTGCTACTTCTACTACTACTGCTACAACTGCTACTACTTCAACTTCTACTACTGCTGCTGCTGCTACTTCAACTACTACTCATGATGCTTCTACTACTTCTACAACTGCTACTACTACAGGTACTGCTACTACTACTATTACTACTGCTTTTACTGCTTCTGCTACTACAGCTACAACTACTACTACCACTGCCACTGCCACTTTTAATATTAATATTACTACTACTGCAGAAAAAAACTGCTACTGCTATAATTGCAACTTCTACTGCTACTACTACAACTTCTACTGCTACTACTTCAATCAATCAATCAAAGTTTATTTGTAGAGCACCTTTCATACACAGGGCAACACAAAGCGCTTCACAGTCCACATCACAAATCATCACATAAAACAAACACCAGAAACACAATTAAAACATTCAAATCACAAAAAAGATTAAAACCATTAAAACTTTCAAAGTTTCAAACTTCTGATACAACTGCTACTGCTATTGGTTTTACTGCTACTACTACTACTACTACAAGTACCGCTACTACTACTATTACTACTGCTGATACAGCTACTTCTACTTCTACTGCTACTTCTGCTATAACTTGGTGTTTTCTTGTGGCAGTGATGGAGAGCGGATGTGAGAGATCCTCCCTGTGGCAACGCGACGCAGCTTTGGAAAGAACATAAAGTTCACATAGTCAGAATAAACCATTAGAAAAAGTACTTTGGTCAGCAGTTTATTTCAGCCAAATGTATCTGTGTTAATATTTGTATTTAGTGATTAAGTATTGTATTCCTCGAGTTACAATCTTCAACATGTTCTGTTAATGGCAGTAAACTCGAAGGAATTGTGAAACTTTAATCTGTATGGCACAAAAATAGATCTGGCTTTTCACAAAACGACTGGGTAAAGAGAAAAATGTAAGATTTTCCTATACGTTTCCATTGCAAACAATTCACTTGTTATAGGAAGTTTTTATTATCCTGACTCTCACCAGACCCTTGTAGTTCCGCCGTGCTCCACCAGAGGCGTTTGGCTGAACCACATGGGTCTGGGATCGAGCGTATACCAAACTCCTTCAGCAGATCAGAAAATAATCGACCAATCAGGATCGCCGGTGTTACGTTGGGTTTGCACTGCCTTCTCGTGCGTGTCTCACGCTGCAGCGAAAGGAATCCAAGAATCCAAGATCCAAGTCCAAGTTTAAATACGAACAAATTAAGACACGGATGTCACTTTTAGTGCAATATGAGGCGAGATGTTGATGGTTCCATGTTGATATAAGTGTGTTTTAAGAGTCAAATGTTCGTGTAAAGTTTGGTTTAAGCACTGTTCCTGTTTACAACACTATGCAGCAGGGTTGCCAGGTTGGGTGGTTTCCCGCATACTTTTATTCAAGAGACTTGTAGGTAAAAAATAAACAGAAAGACAATAAACAGAATCATGATAGCCGAAGTTACGTTTTTAGCCAAAAAATCATTCTGGGTGTTTTTTTTTGGCATTCTCGCGGGTTTTGGGCTGGAAAATCTTGCCGGAATTTGACAACCCATGGGAGTTGTGTGCTTTGATATGAGTGGTTGAAGGAAGACGTCATTCAAGATAACAGACAAGAGGTTTATCCAATCACATACAAGGATGTTTTTCCAACTGCTATGAAGGAGGCCCAGAGGCATGTGTGAAGTGCAGCAAACTACATGGGTCTGGCGAGAGTCAGGCTAAGTTTTTATAGCTTTCAACTAAATTAGCATTACATTCTCATCCCATTCTCTCCTTTTTAATGAGCCAGTTTGGACATAGACTGTGTAGTGCAGGATGAAGTAATGCAGGGTATCAGACGGAAAACGTAACCTGCTCTTATTATTATTATTTTGTTATTGTGCTAGGACTTTTCATAGTTTACCTCTACAACACAAAGCTGAGGACAACACATTTTGGCTCTGATGAACTAGAACATGGACAGCACCTTTAGCATCGTACGTCTCCTTTAAACCTCTCTCTGACAGTGACGGATTTTCTGATGAAATCTTGTGAAACGCTGTCTCTATCAAACGGACACAAAGTCAAATGTGTAGAGCTGGTTTTCAATGAGGAGGAGCTCGTCAAACAGCTCAGGGTTTACTTCATCGATATGACACGCATGATTCGCGTCATGTGACATCACAGGCCCAAATGAGTCTATAGTGTCACATTGTGGTGGAGCGAAGCTGCATAATCTTTCCTGGTAAGTATAGCACTGTTTCCACCAGCCCTACATGGTACTACTCTAATCTACATGGTACTACTCTACTCTACTATACTGTACATGGTTTCTATTCTATTCTGCTCTACTTGGCCCTACTCCTCTCTACATGGTACTACTCTACTCTACTTGGCCCTACTCTAATCTACTCTACTTGACTCTACTTGGCTCTACTCTAATCTACTCTACTTGACTCTACTTGGCTCTACTCTACTCTACTCTACTTGACTCTACTTGGCCCTACTCTACTCTACTCTACTCTACTTGACTCTACTTGGCCCTTCTCTACTCTACTCTACTCTACTGTACTTGGCCCTACTCTACTCTACTCTACTTGACTCTACTTGGCCCTTCTCTACTCTACTCTACTCTACTCTACTGTACTTGGCCCTACTCTACTCTACTTGACTCTACTTGGCCCTTCTCTACTCTACTCTATTCTACTCTACTGTACTTGGCCCTACTCTACTCTACTCTACTTGACTCTACTTGGCCCTTCTCTACTCTACTCTACTCTGCTCTACTCTACTGTACTTGGCCCTACTCTACTCTACTCTACTTGACTCTACTTGGCCCTTCTCTACTCTACTCTACTCTACTCTACTGTACTTGGCCCTACTCTACTCTACTCTACTTGACTCTACTTGGCCCTTCTCTACTCTACTCTACTCTACTCTACTGTACTTGGCCCTACTCTACTCTACTCTACTTGACTCTACTTGGCCCTTCTCTACTCTACTCTACTCTACTCTACTTGACTCTACTTGGCCCTACTCTACTCTACTCTACTCTAGTCTACTTGGCCCTTCTCTGCTCTACTCTACTCTACTCGAAAAGAGCCTGTATTGATCACATTTATTCTCTCATCTCAGTAGCAAATGCTAGAAAACAAGAGGAAAGTCTACATTTGCTTGTTTCATAGACTTTCAGAAAGCCTTTGACTGTACTTTACTTGGCTATACGCTATTAAAAAAAGGGATTGATGGTACATTTTATGATGCAGTTAAAGCTATTTATAAAAATCCAATGTTTTGTGTTCAAGTAAATGACCACTTCACTGACTGGTTCCCAACACCATATGGCGTAAAACAGGGGGATGTTCTGTCTCCCACATTATTTGCCATATACATTAATGATTTAGTATATGAAGTAAAAGAGGCAGATGTGGGCATTAATGTGGGAGACTTGAAACTTTGTATTCTGTTGTATGCGGACGACATTGTGCCGAAAAGGAATCAGACCTTCAGAAAATGTTGAATATCGTTCATGCTTGGTGCAGCAGAATGAGAATGATGATAAATTCTTATAAAACTCAAATTATGCATTTCAGAGGAAGTGCCCAGGCATTATCAGACACCACAGTTCTTTCTTTTACTAAAAAATACAAATATCTTGGATTTATGGTAGATGAACATCTCACATTTGATGAAGGGATTAGATCACTGTCGGAATCTGCAGGTCGAGCTCTTGGTGCTGTTATAAATAAAGTTATTAGTGTTGTGATCTTGGTTATAAGACCTACACTGAGCTGTGCAGAGCTTGTGTCTGTCCGGTGTTGGACTATGGTCCTGGGGTCTGGGGTTACTCTAAACAGACGCACAGTGAAAAAGTTCAATGCAGAGCTCTGAGGTACTTTCTAGGTGTTCATAAAAACACCCCTAAACTTGCTCTGTACGGGGACCTGGGTTGGGAGCCATGTGAAGTAAGGCATGTTTGTGACATGGTACGGTTATGGAACAGGTTTATCAATACTGTATGTCTGACTCAAGACTGTCCAAACACATATTTAAATGGGACCTGTCTCATAGACATGTGTGGAGTGTGCACATGGAGAACATTTCTGTGGATGCTGATCTCCAGTTTATTTTCCGAAACAAGTTGAGATTTAGTGTTAGAGAAATTAAAAAAGTTTATTTTGAAAAGTATAAACATAAATGGTTAAACAATGTCTTGTGTTAGCCAAAACTGAGAACCTATGTTTAAACCAGTGGGGGAGGGTCCCGGCTCAAAAGTGGCCAAAATGACGTGCGCTGACATGCTGCAATACCACCCCGGGCCTGTGGGGGTGGACCCAGAAGAAGAATTAGCCAATGCTAACATATAGCATTGGCAGACCTCTCAAAAACGTCTTTACAGGATGGACCAAAAGTTGGCTCTAGGCCCAAAGCTCCGTTCCACATGTGTGTCAATGCTGAGGGGAGTGTTTTGGACCAGTCTAGTTTAGTCGCTGTGAATTTTTGAAGTCTCTCGTTCAAATGAATGGAGTTGCGCCGGCTGACTCATGCGCAGATGTGTTTTTTCACAATTTTCTTGTGGGCGGGACCACTCGCGGCCATTTTGGATAGCTCCAGTAGAGCACATTTTTAGGCCCATTAGTTAGAACAGCGGAGATAGGCGTGACTCTGTCCGTTAATATATACAGTCTATGGTTTTGATTAAAGATTATTTTGGTCCTGAGTCCCATGTGACCCTGAACCTGACCAGAGGTCAGAAGTCAGTCTGTGCTCAACTGAGGTCTGGGACCCTGCCCCTGGCTCTGGAGACAGGACGATTTCACTCGGTCCCAGAGGAGGAGCGGACATGCCGTTTGTGTCACTTAAACAATATTGAAAATGAATTGCATTTTGTGTTTTTTTGTCCTTTGTACCATGAACTGAGAAGGCAATTATTTTATAAACTGTCTGATGTTGCTGAACTTTTGTTTGAACTGTCCGATGAGGAAAAGCTTAAGTTTCTGTTCAAGTATAAGCCATTTCATTCGTCCAAGTTTTTGTTAAGTGCATGGCTCCAACGGAAGAGGAGCCTCTTTGTTTGATGTATTACTGATGTCTGCCTACATCTTTGTGTCTAATAAGCCCATTCGGGCTGGGCTTCTTTAGGTGCAAGACACCAAATAAGAAATAAATTAAACTAAACTAAACTAACTCTACTCTACTCTACTCTACTCTACTTGGCCCTACTCTACACTACTCTACTTCATTCTTCTCTAAGATAAGATAAGATAAACCTTTATTAGTCTCACAGTGGAGAAATGTCAGTGTCATCGTTGCACATTACAGCAGAGAAAGGAAATAAGAGCACTCAGATTGCACACATCAAAGTCTATTATTTAAGATAATAGACAATACATTTAAGATAAAATAAAATAAAATAAGATCAACTCTGGGCTATAATTGCACTTGGTTCGGAGTATTTACAGATGTCTATATTTAACATTAGCAGCGGAGAATATGAGAATATGAGAATAAACATCAGAAATAATATCAACAGGTAAAGTGACTTGAATGGGAGAATTATCAGATATGAAATAATACAGTAGTACTGATAACAGTAAATATCAGATATGTAGTACTGTAGTAGTACTGATAACAGGTAAAGTGACTAGTGACAAAGTTACTAGT